TTGGAGCCTCTGGTTGGGGGGAGAAGCGGGGGGGTGGCTGGGAGTCCCATCCACTCTCTTGCTCCTGCCAGGCTTCCGTCTGGCACCCATCCGGAAAAACAGAAAATACTGGACGTTACATATGTCTGGTATTTTCTGAATTTTTTTATCAGACAGGGCACAAAAACCGGACTGTCTGATAGAATACTGGACACCTGGCAACCCTGCTCGGCCCTACCATGTTTTTGTCTGCAAGCTTCATCTTGCCTCCTTTTCTCTTTCTTTCTTCTTTTTGTTTGCTCGTGGGTGAAGTCATAGGAAGTAGGTGTGCAACAAGTAACCTTTGTAAAGGAGCCATGCAGTATTTCTGTTTGTTTAGCAGTTGTTTGCAAAGCAATATAAATGAATTAATGTGAATTAACTACAAGGAGTCCTGTAGCACCTTATAGATTAACAGATGTATTAGAGCATAAGCTTTCGTGGGCAAAGACCCACTTTGTCAGATGCATGTAGTGGAAATTTCCAGAAGCAGGTATAAATATGCAGGCAAGAATCAGGCTAGAGATAACGAGGTACATTCAGTCAGGAAGGATGAGGCTGTATTAATTTATTTTTGGGACTTTGTACAGTCTATAATATTGTCTGTTCTGAGCTCTGGGTATCTTTTTAAAATTATTTTGAATTGTATTTCCATTTAGGAAGTAAGAGAAAGGGTGTTCTTTGTAGCTATAAAACCTTGGCTTCATATTGATGGAGTCTATATTTTTAAGTTTTATGAAAAATTATAACGTTCTTTATGAATAATAACATTCTTTATGAATAATATGCATTTCTGCAACAGTGTTTTTTGAAAGAGTGACATAAACTCTAAACTTTCACTAAGTTTTAATTCTTAAAAAAAAAAAAAAGGTTAAATGAGTAGAATGAAGCTTGGATAGAGAATATAGAGTTTTTTGAAAACCATACTTCCAGAATGTATAATGAAGTTATTAGAGTTTCTAAGGTCACTTTCTAAATGCTTAGATCAGACATTTTTTGAAAGGCACAATAAGAGTACAATCCTGTTTAAAATTAAGGTGAATTACATATGCCTAATATGAACAACTTATATTGGTATAATTACACTTGATTTAAAAATTGTACAGTGTTTTCTATGAATACACTTAAATTGGTGTAAAATTGTCTGACTTTTATTGCTTTACAGTTGGCCTATATTAGGGATCTGCACAGGCTTAACTAAATTGTTTTTTTTAATGTATTTGGTTAAACCAATATAATATTTGTGTGCAAGACAGTCCCTTGCTTTGTTGATTGGCCACTCCTGCCCCACAGTTAGAGACGAAGAGCCAAAATAGCTGTGGATAGCGTGCAAAGAGCCATGTATTATATTTATTTTTATCTATCTCTCTATCTAGATATAGTACACAAAATGTAGTGATAAAAATAATGTTACAGGGCATTTTGGACAAAAACCAATAAAAGTCTCTAGTCACTTAAAAAATTCATGGCCACTCCTTAGATCTTCAGAGAACTTGACAAGAAAAACATCACATTAAAAAAAACCCCTTTAAAATACAGTAATATTCTCACGCTTAAAAAAAATAAATAAAAGGGATCCCTACCATATACTTTAAATTTAATACTACTGCCTTTAATCTTTAATGTCCTGTGAGGTTTTTTTTTTTTAATTAAACTGAACTGAGAAGTAAATTAGCACAATTTGAAGTGCCTTTTTCACTCCAGCTTGTTGATCTCTGGTATGGCTTCCTAATGAAGATTATGGCTTTTTATAGTTCTAAAAATTCAGGTCTGTCCCAGACTGCAAATATGTGATAGGTTCAAAAACAATAAGGGAGAGACTCATATCTCAGAATAATTGCTTCAGCCTGGAAAACAATAGCCTTTGAATTTTCTTTAAAGAAACAGTGTGAACCAGATACATGCTGATTCTTTTTTTGCCCTGGAATTTTCAATATGACATTTGTCGGCTGCCGTATTCTGCATTGATGAAGACTTTGAGTTTAAGGTGCTTCAGCCCCCCTGCTCTAACCCAATACCTCTCCCCTCCCCCCGAGCCAGGCACTCCCCAGCTCCCCTTCCTCCCCCCTCTCCCCTACTCTAACCCAATGCCTGGACCTCATTGGAGCCACTGCCACACACTTCTCCCTCCAGGCGCTAGGGCGCATTTTCAGAGCGTCCGGCTGTGAGTACTTCGGGCGCGTGGCTCCATACTAGCAAGAGCCGCATTTCTTTGAACAAAGAGCTGCATGCGGCTCGAGAGCTGTGGGTTGTCCACCCCTGTTGTGTGGAATTGTGTGTTTCTGTGGTTGTCTGAAAAGTATATACAAAATTGTTCTCTTTACTACATCGTAAGGAATATATCAAATATCCTTTTTTGGTTTACAGGTTATTCAGCAATAGTTATGAACTCCCGGTTACGAGCATTAGGTGGGAGGATAAATAATATACGAGCATCAGAACTACCAAAAGAGAAAACGCGATCAGAGATCATCTGTAATGTCTACTTTCTGGATGGCTCAGTACAAAGTTTCCAAGTCAATGTAAGTTCTGAAGACTTTTTTTCCCACATTGGCTTAAAATTTGAGACTCGAATAGAGGATTATTAGGCAAATGGTTTATATATGGGATTGAAGATGTACATTTCTGACTGTCCTCAGAGTCATTGGTTATGAAGTGAGTATGTAAATTTGGTATTTCAGCACTCTTTCAATTACTATTGGATGTTAATAAACTTATTTCATACAGAATGTGTCCAGGAGTAGGATTGCTTGGGTGATCTGCGAACTGACTAAAGCTTCGTTTTTGTTGGATGTCACCTGGTGGTGGGGGGGGGGGGGGGGGGTGTTTTGTGTGTGGTGTGGTAACAGTGAAGGAGGGTGTTTTAGGGAGTGTGCCTGATAAACATGTACAGTTATATTGGTGCTTGCTTTCTTACAGAAGCGGGAATGAGCACTTCTTTCTTTTTTTTTTTTTTTTCCAGTACTCTTTTATATTAGTGATAGAAATGTAGCCGTGTTAGTCTGGTGTAGCTGAAACAAAATACAGGACTATGTAGCACTTTAAAGACTAACAAGATGGATTATTAGATGATGAGCTTTCGTGGGCCAGACCCACTTCCTCAGATCAAATAGTGGAAGAAAATAGTCACAACCATATATACCAAAGGATACAATTTAAAAAAAAAAAAAATTAACACATATGAAAAGGACAAATCACATTTCAGAACAGAAGGGGGATGCTCTGAAATGTGATTTGTCCTTTTCATATGTGTTCATTTTTTTAAATTGTATCTTTTGGTATATATGGTTGTGACTATTTTCTTCCACTATTTGATCTGAGGAAGTGGGTCTGGCCCACGAAAGCTCATCATCTAATAAACCATCTTGTTAGTCTTTAAAGTGCTACATAATCCTGTATTTTCTTTTATCTTAGAAAATGCTTGGCAACTTCCTCTTTCTCCCTGCTTATACTAATTGGATGTAGATGGTGGGTGGGAGAAATAGGAGCATGATCTAAGAGGAAGTTTGCATTCTCAGGCTCCTGCACTTCTGTGGGCTGATTTTCGGTAAATAGAATTTGAAACTCAATCATATATGAGAAGTTTGCTATTATGAATCCTTCTGATTTTTATTATAGCTTATTTGTAGAGTAGATTTGGCCTGAGTAAAATAAGGATATTAGTGAACGGTGTTAAAACTGGCGTTATCCTTCATGAAAAGTGAATGTACCAGTTCCAATGGCCAATTCAATTTGCAGGGAGTTAGATTTTCCTTTTTGTTAGGAATGAATTGATTAGCCATTTTTTTTTAAAAAAAGCTGCATTATAATTAAAAAAATACTCTGAAGAACAACAACCTTCTCATATAAAACCCTCATTATTGAAACTGATGGCTTTTATCTAAAGGAAATTATCAATTTATTGCAATAAAACAAATCAATTAAATAACCTGGACAGCTGTATCCTGCAAAATTACTGTTAAAGCTTCTTGTCATAAGTAATAAACATTAACTGTCTAATTACTATGGCTGAAAGTATTGATTTTCCTAATCAATGTCCTTCCCAAGTATCCAAAGATCAGGATTTGGTGGTGATGTGAGAGTTGAACTATCCAGACATCTGTTGGGCAAATAATTCAGATTAACCAACAAATACTTGGAATGAATTGAAGATAACTTTTTACTACAAATGTTGGAGAGAGCGATTAGGGAGTGAACAATGTAATGCTGTTGAAAAAAGGCAAATGTCATTCTGGGATGTTATAGCAAGAGAAGAGAGTAATTCTTATCTCTGCTAAGCACTGATAAGGCCTAAGCTTGAGTAGTGTGTCAAATTCTGGGCACTACACTTTAGGAAAAATTAGCTGGACTTACCCAGCGTTGCTCGGGAAACTGGAGGAACAAAATTTAGGAAATTTATGAAAGGAGGGAACCCTGACCCGGAGGACCCGAGGAGCCACAGACCCTGGGGGCTGATGGCTCCTGGCCCACACCTGACCCTCTGAGAGCAGCAGGACCCTCCTCCCCCCAGGACCTAGCCCCCGGGAGAACAGTACACACAGTCATGTGGCCAGTAGCAAGGGGACTTCTCTTTGCAAAGTTGGCTCAGGGATCCACCTGCCCTGCCTTGGCAAGCAAAAGCTCAGAGCTCACATCTAACCCCGATGGCTGGAACCCTCGGTCATTTCCTACCAGCGATGGTGCAGGTCCATTCTAGGTGGTCTCAGGGTCCTCTGTTGCATGTGCAGCTGCCTCTCACTGGGGCTCCTCCGGTGCTGGTAGCTCCCAGCGGTCTCCTGGGTCTCTGAGTCCCATCTAAGTCTCTGTCTGGTACGTCTCCTCTGGTGGTCAACCCAGACTGAGCTGTGCTACTGCCTTATATGTTACCTCAGCATTTTGAGCATGTCCTGTCTGGGTAAAGGGGCAGGATTTCCTCCACTCTCAGAGTTTTAACTCCACCTGATTCAGTGCAGGGTATGTGCACCCTGTCACAGTAGGTTGTTTAGCTGTTGCATTGTAAAATTGTTGTAGAAACAACACGGTGTAGTTCTTACAGTAGTGTATCTAGGTGAGATCAAAAATAGGTGGAGGAGATAGATCATTATACTATCCTAGCTGCATTTCAGTGTAGTAAAAAAAAAAAAAAAAGCAAAATCCTGGATAGTGTTATCTCACTAAAAATACAAAACCCCCACACACATTAGCGAGAATAAAATATCTTTTTTGATAGTTACTAAATAGCGTGCCAATATGTCTCTCACTATGATTAAACAATTCTTAGTGTCTTTTTTGAGTGATACAACACTATCCTCATCTACATTGATTTGCATATTATATATTTCTTTGTGTTTATATATCGTAAAATGTGATTATTTCAGACTGATGGATATCCAAATGTATGAATTAACAAACTGCTTAGATTTTCGTAACCAATATTACTGTATTTACTGTGAAGACCTCTAAGGTAAATGTCACTTTTATGGTATAGCACAACTATTCAGTTGTTACTTTGTTCTTTTTAAATGGAAAATTCTGTTTCTCTTTTTCATAACATGGCTTACCATTAAAAAGCATTTGTTCCTCCTTCTTTCAGTGATGGCGCGTTTTGTATTCCACTGAGGGTTATGCATGTGTACCTAGACTTTGAGTTATTCAAAGTAGTACAGGCAGTCCCCGAGTTATGCGGATCCGACTTATGTCGGATCCGCAGTTACGAACGGGGCCGTTCCTCTCCCTGGTCTCCAGCAGACCAGGGAGAGGAAGCAAAGCGGCGGAACACGTGGGCAGCGGACAGGGCTGTCCGCTGCCCACGCGCTCCGCGGCTTGGCTCTGCTTTGCCCCCCCCCCTCCCCCGTCCCCCTGGTCTGCAGCTGGCCA